GGACGATGGCCTGGCTTGAAACCTCCAGCTGCGAACTCATAATTAGCTCCCAAACCACCTCACAATGATCGACGACACCAAGGTGAACCACACGACACAATACCATGCTGCAGTCAAGCTCATTGGACTCGCCTAAAACCCTCCATATTTCTCAAGAAACACAAACAAATTCTACTCTGAAATTTTGACAGAATTTTGTGCCGCCAAAGTTACAACATTCATGCATGTCGAAATGTATATTGAAGATGCAACAATTTGTTGTGCGAGAAAAGCACATAAAGGCAAATACAGTTTGGTCACATACAACCATGAACACACTCTTTCAAAACTACGTTTCTCCTACCATCCGCACTACTGAGTTGTAACTTACATCTGCTAACTTTATGACTCACTTCATGAAACACAACCAACTACAATGGTTTCACAGGAACGCTGCCTGAACCTACACAAGGTAACTGGGCGCATTCTTCATTCTCTCTTAACATACTTTCACAACGTATTCGTGATTACCTACTTGGAAGACACCCTCACGCCAAATAAAACTCTCACAACAAACCTAACTACCCCTAACCCCATCATTCGGTAAACGTAACGCTCAGCTCAAGAGATGTTATGATCTCTATAAGCAATCACTAAAATAACAAAATGAAGAGTATAAACCTCTCATACTACACGCTCATTTATTGAATGTAGCCTCTTGTCAGCCCATGTTTTTAAAGAAGGCACAGGGCTCAGCTATGCGCCCTAGCTCAACATCTTACTCCCATCCAAATAACGCTAGCATACTAACACACACACATAACCAAAGGCCATATTCTTACAACCTAGGCACCACTAAACACGCATCTGAACGTAAATGCTTGCATAGAACAACACGCAATAAAAAATAACGCAGATGCCGTACATGTCATGAGCACCTAACAAAACATGCCTATGTTTTGCGCTAAAAACCCTGTACCGAATGTTTTTCAAACATGAGTTTTTCAAAAATCGCACATCGTTTTATTCTAAAGCCTTCATTGAAATGCTCATTTACTCCTTTAAGGCGGTATAGAACTTTTGCGCTACACCAAGGGGCACGAAGCATACAAACTCCGGCTCCGCTCGACAACGCTACCGCGCTTTCAAAACTAGCGGGCGTACCAAACTGCAGTTACGACTTACGTGCTCTTATCTCAAAGGAAATCTCATTTCACGCCGTCGGTTGACACATGCGGGTAAGTGCTGCGCATAACGCTTAACACCTTAACTAAAAACTCTTACAATGCTTTAAAAAATCTAGAAGGGAAAAACTGTATCTAAACAAAGTAGCCGTGGAGATGACATAGACATATTACTTTAAAACCAAGAATAAACAAATGCACATGCTTCTTAAAAAATGCTGTGTCCCACTATCCAGCTTACATCTGTCTCTTCAATCGCACCCACGGCGATTGCGGTCTTGGCGGATTTCGAGAACGCCCGAGACTGCACTACGTACGTGCTGAACTGCAGCGTCACGCCTCATTCGCGATTTCGGCCGACTTCTGTCAATCTCGCGGATGGGACCGGAGCTATGCGCGGGAAGGAGTGGTCATGCCTTCTTTGGGCTTGTTCCCGTACGCTGCTTAGCTACTGTGGCTTTTCTTCTAGGACCCCTTTGACACTCCTGTGCCCTCGAAGCTTTAAATCTCCGGCGTGCATTCTGTCGCAAGGATGCGCGCTGTGGCCTACCCTTTCGCCGCTGGCGCCTTACTTCACGCCACAAAGGCCTCTTCGTTGATCTGGCCGATGAGCGACCCTCTTTTCTGTTTTCCGGCTGCTTGCCATCTCTTTTATGCCTTCGCTTTGTCGCGCGTACGCTTCACTCTTTTACGGCGACGTTTGCGACCAACATTTTCCTTCATATTAGGAAGTGAGTCTCGAGTTGCGTCATCAGTGGAATTAAAACCTAAGGGCGCTTCTGCACTACCTTCCATAGCACAGCGACAGATCGATTTCTTGGCATTGTTTTCATGTCGGGCCGACTCACCTGTGCTGAACCTGCCCTCGCGCGCGCCCTAAACTCTGTTGTCGATAGAACTGAAGTAGCGACGACTTACACGGGAATGCATTTGCGAAAAACCCGCTTTTCTTTTTCGTCCGGCGGCTCGGACACATGCAGAGCAACTTTGATGCCGTTGCGAAACGCCTCATTTTGCCTGCCACGCTCAAATGTTTCGAGCTTTCCGCAACATGCGAAGTGCCTTTTGTCTCGCTCGCGGCTCTCCAACGTCTCTTGCGTCTGCGCCGCTTCTTTCAGCTCGTTTCCGAGCATCCCGATCGCATCTCACACTCGTGAACCCTCTCACAGCTTCGTCAGATGTCTCACCCGCGCAGTCTAAATGATCCTCAAAAAAATCACGTCTTTCACACTCTTGACTGGCGGACAGCTTAACGCGCTTAGGAACTGTGCCGCTGTTTTCCTTCGAACAATATAGCTCACATTGATGGGAGCTGACTACAACCACGCTGTTTCCCCTACTCTCTGCAATCGCTTCTTCTCGTGAGCTCTCTCCAATATTCTTGATCTCTTCGACCTCGTTTGCAAGATCCATCGACAACCACAGTTGAGGCCTGTACCAGCTTTTCTACAGCTATTCCAGCTGTTTCGCTAACATTTAACTGGCGCAGCACCTCATCACACTCGCTCTGACTTTCAGTGGCATCTCTCATTAGAGCAGAATCTTTCGCAGCTCTCGCATTTGGTTCTTCTTTGAACCTGCTGCTGCCTTTACACGTGCTAGCCTTTTCTACGGCTCTGAACTGCACCGCACTTATTTTTTCCTCACACTTCTTGTGCGCTACACCTATGGATGGCTGAATCTTCCGTCTCATTGCCTTGACCATCTGTTCCAATAGTTCAATCTCTAGGTCGAGTGCTCACCCACGATATTCGCTATTTCACTCACGCTTTTCTCTTTCCCTTCGTTCATTTTCTTCTCTTTCATTTTTCTGTTTCTCGAAAGTCTCCCCCGCGTTTTTATCTCCTCCTCACTGGCTTTTTGCAAAATCAGCCTCACAATCGGTGTCCTGCTCATTCCTTCCACTACTTCAATGCCTAGATGCTTACTCACAGTCAAAAGTTCATATCTCAGCATTGACTTCCACCCCATGATTGCTGCTTTACTTTGATCCGGCGTCTCACACATATTAAGGTGATCCCTACTACTCACTCAATAGTGAAATTATGTGATCTCTCTATCTCACAATCAAACAATCCAGCTTATACTCAACTCACTCGCGAAATGAGTTCTGGAAAGTCAAAGGAAGGACCAAGAACTCACCGCAACACAGCACCATGTCGCGAAGTCCATCCCACCGCTGCCAATCAGTTGTAAAGGATAGGAAGTTGATGATGGCATCCCACCGCTGCTACCAGATGTCAAGGGCTCGAGGTAGATAGCAGGTAGATATGGTGGGTTTCTTCGGGGTAGCTGGCTTCCCGCAGTCGTCCGCATAGCCAATCTTCGCCAGTGAGGAGACGCATTCGTAAAAGAGCTAAAACGAAGATTTAGTTACATGAAAGCTGAAAGATAGGAACTGTGCAGAAATTCAGAAGATCCCGCATTACGTACATCGGAGATTCAGTTCATGATTCAGCTCTTAATAACAAAATGCTTCGGCTTTTATAGCCCGTCGATTCTTCACACGGCAGTCCGGAGAAGGAGGTGACCACTCTTGCCCCAAATCAGATGACGCAGTCTCAGTGGTCCATCCACCGAAAGGGTGCAGATATTGCACTACTCGGCTGAGCGAAAAGGTCCAATGGTAGCACGAGCGCACCACACAATGACGCACCCAGCCCACGCCTTGAAGGCAGCGCAGAGCGAGGAGGTAGAGTCCAGAGAGGGGAAGTTGAGCTCCTCCGGGGAATGGCCGCTGACCCGAACGTCAGCAGCAGTCCATGGCTGCTTTCAGCTAGGCACTGCACCGTGCTCCCGACCGGGTTGCAGAAATTAGGTGCCTTTTCTCACTTCTAACCACTACCACCGCCACCTTTCAGCTACAGGCTTCCAGAACTCTCTCGAACATGGCAGTCCAAACGCTCCATTTCTGAGAACAGCTTCTTCGACGCGTTCACACGCTTCCGGGCTGTCGGTGCTTTTGTGGCAATTCGCGTCGGCGACGACAGCCGAGTCGAGAGGTTGACTCCAAGGGAACCGCCACATTGGCGCCGTCCCACGCTGTTTGAGCCCGTTAAACAAAAGGGTTGTCTCACAAAGCTTTCGGCGAGGCCCGACCACTACCGGGAACCTCTACAGGAAAGCGTCTAGCCGACTGGGCGCCGATAGGGAGAAAGCCTTCTCGCGGACCGGCTCACTCACAATGGCGTCTGATGAGACGAATGGCCGGGCCAAACGTAACAGAATTTGCAGAAGCCACTGCTGTTCTCGCACCAGAGCGGATGGCGAAATTGAGCTTTACCGAAGTACCACACCACTATGCGGTATAGCTTACCACAAAACCAAAGGGGCGCTGGGTTGTAGGCTGGGTTTAGGCCCCTTCGCATAATCTTCTTTCTTTCCAAGGATTTCGCGTTCCATTATGTTGCAGCTTGAATAACCTACCACCAGAGCGCATGGTTATGACAGATAGGGTGGCAAGCGGGCATTATTGCTGTAGGCTTGCTATTTTAGCGTAAAAAAACAAACACTGTAACAATGGGCCGTCATATTGACAACCATCTCTTCATCTATTTTGACGAATCGTCAGCGTCAAACGCAAAAGACGGGGGCTCCGCCGTCATTTAGCGAGCGGAGAGAAGCAGGGATGAGAGACTAAAAGGGAGAAAAGCTTCCAGTGCGCTTCCGTTGGCTACCACACGTCATGGGGAACCTCACTCTTTTCGCGCCCCTTTGAGGTCACCCATCCACGAGACAGTGGAAAGGATGTCGCCACTGCTGCACAAGAAAGAGAGAGAGGGACAGCCAAGGAAGTTGGTGCATGCATTGCCAACCTGTTCCTACGATACAATAAGGCACTGCGCCGTGCTCCCGACCGGGTTGCAGAAATTACGTGCCTTTTCTCATCTTCTAACCACTACCACCACCCTACCAACTTTGTGTGGGTTTCTTTTCCGCGTAGGGAAGAAACCTGCAGCTTGGTGCGCCATTTTGTCTTATTTCTTGCGTGATGTACTGGAAAGACCGAGGGTCCGTGTAACACGCGTTCTGCTCGACGCTCCAGCCTAAACTCAGGTGCAAGGTGAGTGTGCTTATATACTTCTTTCGTCTGTTTGCATCCTTCGGCTGTTCATGGTTTTAACACGTCACCTAGTTTGCGAGTAGCGAAGAAGCAAGCGCTTGTTTTTGCGGGTTGCGGAGTTCACTTGCTTTCGCGCGTCTGTGCGAATTCTCTCCTTGCAGTATGCATTCGAGAGACGTGCATGCACCGTTGGAGTTAGCCCGACACTGCCGCCCTGGGAGGTGCTTTCGCACCGAGGCTGAACCACGTGTAGCGATTTTCAGGCGTCAGCTTGTGTCTAAGGAAAAAAAAAGAAAATTCAACTTTCTGTGAAAAAAAAAAGAAAAAAAACGTGAGAGTACGAGGAGCATTAGCGTGTTTATTGCACTTATCGCGCACTTTCGATCGTGATTGAAAGTGCTTAATGGTGCAAGGACCAGACTCGATTGGTCAAGCGCGTTATCATCTTACGTACCGCTGGATACATTGAGAGTACCTGATGAAGATGTTTCGTAAGCACTTTTTGTTCTTCCTTTTCATCTGTTCCTTATCATACCTGCGTTATAATACCTGATGATGTCATCACTTTTCTGAGGAACCAAATACTGTGGACGATACAGCCGCGAATCCGTAAAATTATACGTCAACAAGAAATAGTTTTTGTTTTTTGTGTAGTACTGTGGCCGAAAACTGCACCTCTTCCGAAATTTCTTACTCTGGTTCATGGCCGCTACCCGGCATAAAAGGCAGAAGTTTGTATCTTATTGCGATCGCGCAAATCTACGCTGATTCGCTAATCGCAATCGAAAGTGACATTAGCTTGTAAGTGCACACGCAAGCCTAAGTACGTCGCGGAAAAAAGACCAAGATGGGAAAAACAAAGTGTATTTTGAGAAATATTGTACCAAGAGCAATCATGCGCGTGGGCTGACTGAATTATTTAAAAGAAAATTTAGTGCTTATGAAACCTGCAGAAATCACTTCGTATAAATTGACAAACTGGAGTTCAGTGCAGCGTTATCGACATGTACAAGCACTTAAAACGCAGTAGGTTTAGGAGAACTCTAGGAGATGTGTCAAGTACTTGCAAATTTGTATGCAAGTTCCTGCATGCAACTGTCTAATAGACATCATTCACTGACTGCTAATAGCTTCAATCGTCTTTGGTTCACAAGCCTGGTTTGAAGGGTCAACAGACACCTTCTGGCGTAGATGGGTCAACTTCAAGCATATTAGGTCATGGATGTCACTGCAACTTTCACACTGCCAAGCGAGGTATGTACTCCATACCTAACAATTTTTTATTTAGTCTATTTGTTTTACCATTTCTGGTTGCATGTGCATTTCATTTGTAAAGGCAGACCAGATCCTAAATTATGTCTTCTAAATTAATACCTGAAATTTGATGTCCAGGCCAACTCTCCCCATGCACCCAAGCCACAGTTGCTTGGCCTCATTGTGAAGGAGGCCTTTATGGAAGTCGAAATGTCGTCTTTTTGTCTTTTACTTTGTCATGTATTGTCTCCCTTTGAACAGTGTGTAGGCTTATAATAATAACTGCATTATCAGCTGCTTATGTTAAACAATGCAAGACGGCCCTTAGAAGTTGGGTTATGATGTGCGGTTTAGATAGGTATGTCTGGTTATTACAATTGTTCTCCTGAGTCTAACTGATTTTTTTGCTTGTTAATTCCCAGCATGCAGGTGAAGAAATCCTGGAGAGGATGCCAGCAACACCTCATCTAGCTGTTTTTGGTGAGTATGTCGCATAGAAATTTTTTTCTCAAAACATGACTTATGTAGCTTAGCTTGTTATTCAAAACAAAAGTTTTTGGAAAGATACAGATCGAAAATTCGAGAACGTGGAGTGTCACTGGAGCAAACGTTTTGACAAATACGCTTGTGGAAAGGCCGTCTCAAGCGACAATGCATGACGATGAAGTTTCCAACCAAAATATTGTTTTTCAATGGCCTGACTTGATCTGTAAACTGTGTTATATGCTGATAGTGAGAGGGACTTTAGGCAGTCCCAACCTGCTCCACTAATGTATCACAGGTAGGGTGCACTTAAAATTTGAGAATGAGGCTACCTCAAAATGCAAAAATTCAGTGTTTTTCCACTTATCTGAATAAATAGGTTCACCAGCCACTTGAGGTCTTAAGACCCAGCCAGACAGATTTCTGTCGAATACGTTCACCTTTAAATTGTGCCTTTTAACGCTTGAATCACTTGTCTCATAACATTGTGCCCATGCTAGCAAACTTGAACTACATTCTGCATTCCTATTTCCTTTCCTAATAAAGATGTCTTTTTCAAGAAGCAAATGATATGTAGTTTGTTGCTGCTCAACATCGTTCTCTTTTTATTTCTTGTGTAACATCTCTTTGTAAAGCTATTACCCCTAACAGGTGTTATGTGTTTATCTAAGGGTAACACCTGGGTAATTCTAAGCCAAGTGTCCAAACCAATTCGATGGCCATGCCAAATGTATTCGGTCATTTCATATCAAGCGTACCCGGTCAATTTACGAACATCTCCGATCTTGCTAAAAAAAGAATTGTGCAGGTATATGTGAATGTGAGTAGTAGTTATTTATCCATTATACTTTGCAAAAAAATTTTGTGTTGCCTAGTAGATGGCACTTCAAACTTTAGGCACCCAAGTGAAACTGTGTCACACAAAATAGTTTATGTAATATTGCTGGTTCGATCAATTTTAATGATAGTGTTTTCGTTAATGTCAAGGTGCAACTCTTTCAAGACTCTGATAGGTTACTCATTTTCTCTTTTTTTTTTGCCTAGACAAAAAGCTGCAATATGCTGCATGTTTAGCGTTTTTTATAGAAAGCACAACATTTTTGCAATACGTAATGCAATATTGTTTTCTGTTTTATATGTTCCCATATTTTCAGCATATGACAAAAACCATTACATTTGCTGCACAAAATTTCTGTCTGGTGTTCAGTAATTTCATAATGCAGTGTCTGTATCACACAAGTTAGTGCAGTTGACACATTTCCGGTGTTTCACTTCTGAAGCCCAAGTATGTGATTGGCACAATTTGTGGAGCGCGGATTTATTTGGTCATTCTATTTTCATTCCCAGGTACAAGGGGCAGATCATCCCGACTAAACTATGTGTTAAAGGCAGAGTCAGTGGACTAGCTCGAAGGGTGCTCAGCCTTCTCAAAATACTTTGAAGAATGAGTGTGCAAGTATTCACAAAATCTTTCGTTGCATATTTTATGCAGTGCTACTCATGGCGAATGACAGTGGCGTGGCGACGTAGACTACACTACAATTCATAATGACACAGAATACACTTGTTTTCTTGAGCCATTATCGACAATACATTGAGTGCCTGCTGTCACCTTACAAAGAAAATGCTACATTGATGGTCTAATAATAGTTTTAAGCGACAAAGACATGTTAAATGTCACTAATCAGTAATTACTTTCATCTAAACGTGACAAGTTTTGACGATCAAAGGTTGTCGATCCGACAGTCCAGTTGTGTGTGAAGTTCACTAAAAAAACGTCAATATGAAAGAGTACCGTAATTAGCAAATGACGACCTTTAGTTATTTTGACGAAATTGTTAACTTTATAGTTTGCTTTTATTTTGAAATGACGGGAAACACATCGAATATTAAAATTGTGCCTTCATTGGAACATAACGGCATGTGGTTATTTTGATGTAAATGATGTCAATTTGACAATTCGCTTATATTTTGAAATGATGGGAAACACATGAAAATGATAAAATTGTGCTGCGATTTCAAAATGACGGCCTTTGGTCACTTTGACGGCCATAAGCTTGGAACACCGTCATTTTCACAGTTTTTTTATCTTGTCCTTGTTATAACGGAAACATTATTAAAACAGTCTTGTAAATCGGTTTGACTATATATATATATATATATATATATATATATATATATATATATATAAATATATATATATAGTGTGCGTGTGCCGCATGCGCGCGCATTCATTTATTCACTATGAGTATAGATGAATGATCATGCCTGCACAATGTCTGATCAGTAGTCGATTATCAGAAGTCTGCTCCTCCACTAATTTTTATGCTAGAGGGGAAAGCGTTCCTTCCTACATCAAACCAACGCCTTTGCAGGGAACTCATCAGACGTCTATGCAAGAGTTCTGTGTAATTGCTTCATGCTTGAGCTGTCAGTACGTATATCGCTGAGTCTACGAACTGACTACAGCACGGACGATGGTAAACATGAGCGTCTGTTTGGCCTTATACACAGGCAGCCTACACGTGCGCCCACGAGCTAAAATCACGTTCCTGACCATTCAGCCACTTATCCTCGCTTTTTTCTCCTTGATCCGCATAGACTCTTTCTTGCGCGTCAGCTGCACTCGGTGTGGCAAATGTTTCACAGCGAAGCCGAGGTGCAATATGTTTTGAAGGGCTGCCCATAAAATCATTCATATTTTACGTGGAACAAAAGCTTCTTAAAATTTTGCTGAATGCAGGACTTGCCACCTGGGGCACCGGAATGAAACACTGTAGATGATGAAAGAGCGTAGCTTATAGTATTCAGCGTTCTAAAATCCATGAAAGTGCAACATAAGTGTGAGATTTATTTATTAATGAAATTTTTATGACCTTTTATTGTCTATAGACAAAAATATTCTTCTTTAGGCAAAGCAATGAAGCCGATGAAATCATACGTTATTGTAAATGCTGAGCACAGAAAATCTCAGTTCCTGCTGATAACATGCGTGAAGAGCGTGTCGCAGTAATCGTGAAACGATCCAAAGGATTGGCAGGGGTAACATATGTTTCAGGTTTTTTATTCTCCTTAGCCCACATGGCTGCACAATATTTGCATACAAGTTTACTGCGCTTACAAAGCTTTGTACCGGCGCAGTTTGTTCTCTTGGACCACATGTAAGTTGCAGTGCTCTGGGTATAACGAAAGTAATATTTTTATCCGCACTAATGGTAAGCATGGTACTCACTTTAGTCAGTTTCCACACAATCATCTCACTACAATACTTTAGTGGCAACTCGAATTTTTCTGGAAGTGCTACCTCTTGAATACCGCTAGAAATTAGTACAGCGAATTATCCTAGTTACAGTTATTGTACAAGGACCTGAGGCATAGCGGCGTTTGTTAAACGTCACGATACCGAACTCTTATCAGGTAGCACTATCGACGTGTTAGAGGGTACATCCTGCCGACGGGATCCATCGAAACTTACATAGTGGCCCGTCACTGTCACTTTTGAGATACAGAAACATCTTTATGCGAGAACATTATTTTTCCTCTCTTGCTGTCATGCGAATTCGGGATTTGTGGTCAGCTGATTTTCATGCGAATCACTCTTGGTGAATATTTCATAGGGTATCGCGAAACCTGGCCATGCGTTGCCGTTCGGCCATCTTTCCAATGTAACCTAAAATGCCCAAGAAGGGTAACACTACAAGCGGCGTATAGATATCCGCATATAATGTAACTCCATTAGACTACGAGTTGCTGACTTTCAAATGCGAAGCAGTTCTTAGCGAACTTCGGCGACGTTGAGCGTATCTATCTATCTATCTATCTATCTATCTATCTATCTATCTATCTATCTATCTATCTATCTATCTATCTATCTATCTATCTATCTATCTATCTATCTATCTATCTATCTATCTATCTATCCATTTATCTATCTAGCCGCCTACGACTTTTAACTCTCCTGGCAGTTTCGATAATGGTATCGATACCAAACTTGGTATTGCATAACATGACTGTATTAAGAACATATCTGACAAGTCATATTATGAAAATACTTCCCATTAAGAGATAGTGGCAATCTACCTGTAGTTATGACAAGTAGATTGCCACTATCTCTCAAGAGGAAGGTATGTAACAGCTGTATCTTGCCGGTACTTAGCTATGGAGCAGAAACCTGGAGACTTACAAAGAGGGTTCAGCTTAAATTAAGGACGACGCAGCGAGCAATGGAAAAAAATGGTAGGTGTAATCTCAAGAGACAAGAAGAGAGCAGAGTGGAATAGGTAACAAACGGGGCTTAAGGATATCATAGCTGAAATCAAGAAGAGGAAATGGACATGGGCCGGGCATGTAGCGCGTCGACAGGATAACCGCTGGTCATTAAGGGTGACCGACTGGATTCCAAGAGAAGGCAAGCGGGTTAAGGGGAGACAGAAGGTTTGGTGGGCAGATGAGATTAAAAAGTTTGCTGGTATAAATTGGCAGCAGCAAGCACAGGACCAGGTTGAATGGCGGAACTTGGGAGAGGCCTTTGTCCTGCAGTGGACGTAGTCAGGCTGAAGATGATGATGATGATGGTGGTGGTGTTGATGTTGATGATGATGATGAACATGAAAATCATGACGTGTATGAATGTAATGATTTACATTTCATAGTCCTGCAGCTTTTGCTGTGGTTTCGTTCACATGGCATGCTACAAAACTGGTATGGTTTGACATGATTGCATGGCGAACACAAGCGACAGATCCTAACATGAAAATCATGACATGCGTGTCACGTAACAACATGACTGCATGCCACGCTCATGATGCGCTCACGGCCGTTTCGTTAGCGTCACATATATTAAATTTGGTATGACAGTACGTGAACGGATGAAGAATGTATTTGACTGGTGCAAACATGATATACATAAGATGCGTGTCATGTAACAACAAGACAACATGCTACACTTATGATTGCCTCGCGACCGTTTCGCTAGCTTTACATGTACCAAACTCGGTAT